GGCTCAGGGCGATGGGCCGCTCTCTACTGAACTGAAGCAGCAGTGGAGCTCGGCAGCCCCCTGGGTGTCTGAGCAGCCATTTTTAGGATTCGTTCTGCTCACCTCTTAGGAGGAAGGGGCTAGAAAAGGTGCCCTAAAAATAGCCTGCTTCAGCCTACCCTGGCCAGCTTACCGTGGTTGGCGGGGATCCCCTTACAGCGGTCGATCAACGACAAGAAAAAGAGTGGTGGCACTCACACTTGCCACATGGAACGTCCGCACCTTGCTGGACAACACCAAGGCAGACAGACCAGAAAGAAGAAATGCATTGGTTGCAAAAGAGCTTGCTCGCTACAACATCGATATTGCAGCTCTAAGTGAAACCCGACTTGCGGAAAAGGGCCAACTGACAGAGGACGGTGGTGGCTATACCTTCTTCTGGAGCGGTCGCAACACCGATGAAAAGCGTGAGGCAGGAGTGGGGTTCGCTATGAAGACCCACCTCTCTCGAAAACTCAGCAAGCTTCCAGAAGGCCTGAACGATCGCCTAATGAAACTACAGATAAAAATAACGGCAAGAAAAGTGCAACACTGATCAGCGCTTATGCTCCTACGATGACAAATCCTGACGACACCAAAGACAAGTTTTACGAAGACCTGCATGCCCTCATCTCAGCAGTCCCAAAATCAGACAAGCTCATAGTTCTCGGGGACTTCAACGCTCGAGTAGGGACAGACCATCAGAGCTGGGAGGGGATAATTGGAAGACACGGAATTGGCAAATGTAACAGCAACGGCCAACTACTTCTAAAAACGTGCGCTACGCACGACCTCGTCATTACCAACACTTTGTTCCGCCTACCCACTCGCAACAAGGCGTCCTGGATGCATCCTCGCTCTCGCCACTGGCATCTCCTAGATTACGTCATCACCAGGCAAAGGGACAGGCCGGACGTTAGAGTGACCAGAGCCATGTGCGGTGCTGACTGCTGGACTGACCATCGCCTCATCACATCCAAATTTAAGCTACGCATCCTGTCCACGAGAAGACCCCAAGGCCAGAAACCTGCTAAAAGGCTGAACGTCACCAAACTTAAATCTACAAGAGCTGCAACAAACTTCTCTCACGACCTAGAAGACAGATTATCCGGCATAACTCAAAACGACCAGACCAGCGTCGATGAACAGTGGACAGCCTTTAGAGACACTGTCTACTCCACAGCCCTCGAACACCTTGGGCCAACAGTCCGCAGAAACCAGGACTGGTTCGACGAAAATAACGAAAGTATTGAAGTTATACTGAACGAAAAACATTGATTGCTCAGAGCGCACCAGAACGACCCAACGTCGGACGCCAAAAAGGACGCCTTCAAGAACGCAAAAGCAAAGATACAGAAATCACTCAGAGACATGCAAGAAAAATGGTACAAAAACAAAGCCGATGAAATCCAGGCCTATGCAGACAGGCACGACACTAAGCAATTTTATGACGAACTGAAAGCACTATACGGACCCCAGCCCTCTGGGTCCTCCCCACTTCTCAGTGCAGATGGGTTACAGCTGCTCACAGAGAAGAAGCAGATACTGGAAAGATGGGCCGAACACTTCAACATCGTTCTCAACCGTCCTGCTGCAATAAATGATGAGGCCATCGCCCGCCTGCCCCAAGTGGCCATCAACAAGGACCTTGACACCCTCCCCACGGAAGAAGAAGTCAGAGAGGCAACAAAACAAATCTCCTACAGCAAAGCCCCAGGACCCGACGAAATCCCTGCCGAGGTGTACAAAGCAGGAGGCCCGAATATGTTTAAAAAGCTGACTGAACTATTCCAGGTCATGTGGAACGAGGGAAAGCTCCCACAACAATTTAAAGATGCCAACATAATCCACATCTGTAAGAGGAAGGGCATTCTGCAGAATTGTGATAATCACCGGGGAATTTCACTCCTGTCTATAGCGGGCAAGATTCTGGCCCGCGTCCTACTGAACCGCCTCCTCCATCATCTGGAACAGGGACTCCTCCCAGAGACTCAGTGCGGCTTCCGGGCCAAACGAGGAACTGCAGACATGATCTTCGCCGCCCGCCAACTCCAGGAAAAATGCCAGGAGCAACACTGCGACTTACTCGTGACCTTTGTGGATTTAACGAAGGCCTTCGACACTATCAGCAGAGAAGGATTGTGGCGGATCATGGAGAAGTATGGATGTCCAAGTAAATTCATCACCATCGTCAGACAGCTTCAGGATGGTATGATGGTGAAGGTGTTAGGGGACAGAGACGAGTTAGACACCTTCCCTGTGACCAACGGCGTTAAACAAGGGTGCGTCCTTGCCTCAACTCTTTTCAGCATGGTATTCTCCGCCATGCTAACAGATGCCTTCCACAGCAGTCAAGATGGCATCCGGATCAGGTACAAAACCGACGGCAGGCTGTTCAACATCAGGCGCTTCCAGGCTGCTACCAAGGTGAAAGAAACAGTCATCAGGGAACTTCTCTTCGCCGATGACTGTGCACTCAACGCTAGCACAGAAGAGTGTATGCAAAACGAAATTAACTGTTTCACCTTAGCCTGTGACAACTTCGGCCTCACCATCAACACCAAGAAAACCGAAGTCTTGTACCAACCAGCCCCTGGTCAACCATACACAGTGCCACAAATCATGGTGAAGGGACAGAAACTCCAGGCAGCTGACCACTTTACATACCTAGGCAGCACACTTTCACGAGCCGTTCATATAGATGCTGAAATAAACACCAGAGTTGCCAAGGCCAGCGCCGCCTTTGGAAGGCTTCGCAAGAATGTCTGGGAGCGCAGAGGACTCAGCCTCTCCACAAAACTGAAGGTCTACCGGGCAGTGGTTTTTACCATTCTTTTCTACGCCAGCGAGACCTGGACGGTCTACATCAGACACGCCAAGCAGCTCAACCGGTTCCACCTGAGCTGTCTTCGTAAAATCCTCCGCATCCGATGGCAGGACAAAGCCCCAGACACTGCTGTTTTAGAGCGAGCCGGAACACCCAGCATCTATACCATCCTCCACAAAACGCGAGCCAGATGGGCCGGCCAAGTGATCAGAATGGCGGACAGCAGGTTGCCCAAACAGCTGATGTATGGAGAGCTGCTTCATGGCAAGCGCTCAGTTGGGGGGCAGAAAAAACGTTTCAAGGACTGCCTCAAAGTCTCCCTCAAGGAACTTGGAATCCTGAACGACTCGTGGGAAACGCTGGCCCAAGATCGTCCAACGTGGCGCTGCAAGCTAACGAAGGGAGCCAAAGCAGCAGAGGCCAAGCGAATCGCCGACTCTAAACAAAAACGCAACGTGCGCAAGTCCAGACCTGCCTCCACCACAAGTCCAACAGCAGACTACCCGTGCCCACAATGTGGGCGAACCTTTCGAGCCCGGATAGGACTAATCAGCCATCTCCGGACTCACAGTAACCGTCAACAGACCAATTTGTGAAGTCATGGTCATCTTCAAATGCGAAGGACGAACAACATATGGGTAATGCAGGTATGGCATTGTTAAATAACTGTTTTACGTACCTTTCCGCACTGAAAAGGTAAGTTAATGGGTGTTCTGTCTTCCACTAACAGGACTGAGCCAAAATAGTTGTTCACCCTGGATATCTCCCAAAACAAATTAGGTTAATATGAATAAACACCGATTGCAGACTCGAGTAAGCGACATTCGCATGTAGTATTATGCCAAATGTGCCAATGACGCGGTGAAAGCCTTAATCAGTGCACAATAACACTGGTCAAGAAGGAATTTGCTTTGCCCAAAACCAATAGATTTTATTGATTTAAGGGCGTCGCATTCGAAAATTATAACCGTTTTTATATTAATGTCTAGTATTTTAAATAAAACATAAGTTCAACTTTCCTTATTTGATATAACAAAAAAGACTATGTACAGAAGAAATCAGTGATTTTAGG